CGTATTTTTATATCAAACTTTTAAAAAACAAACACTACGTAATGACTTACTTGAATATCCGGATAGATAGCTAATAACAAAAGACAATAACTAACAGTCAATGAAGTAGTTTCGAAACCCTATAAATATAATAATTATTTATTGCTTGTGGTATCAAAGTATTTGGAGTATTTTGATCTTACACCCGCTACTATAGTTATCACATGACTCTTAATATCCTCATCGCTCAAGCCCAATCCGGCTTCGTTTGAGTCCATTAAAGTTTCTACTAATCCTTGAAAACATTTCTCTAAATAATTAAAAAAAAAAAACCACTTTTAGTTATAATAACTTGTACAATTACAGAATTTAAATTTATCAATGTTTTTGACTTAACACAATTAACACGATAACCACCTACAGTTTGGTTAATAAAAAACTATCCGGTAGTATTTTATTAAAACTATCACTTACTTTCGCCATCCTTTAGATCTGTGTCTGTTCTGAATTTATTTTTAAATTTTTGTGCTAATTCATTTTTCTTTTTCTCGATTATCTGAAAAATTAAAATTAATGTTAAAAAACATTTCATCTATTTTTATATCCCACATACACATACATGCTTTGGTAAGTTTTGTACATTTGTATAATATTTTTCATAGTCAAACAATTTGATATAAAGATTATATATAATTTCTGGATACAAACAAATTTTAGTTGCTCTATGAACTATCAATTCAAAGCCTCTGCAAATAAATAATATTTTAGTCCATAACTAGATGACCTAACATATTAATTGTAATTTAGTTCGTTAATGTGTAAATGTTTTACTTTGTGACACACTTTTTGAAACCCATATCTGTTTGAGAGTCGAGGTTGTAATCCATTGTTGTTTCTAAAAAGGCAATTAAGCATCAATAATATTACTAATAGTAATCACTGCAAGTATAATAGTATGGTACAATGTATTCCACATTCACACATATCCATAGTAGAAGAGATTCTAATACTTACGACAAACTGTATTAAGAATAATATCTGATGCATAGTCCAATATATCAAACGGTTGTGTTTTACCCATTTCCTTTTGTAGATTCTGAATTAGTAGTTTTGATTTCTCTTGAAAAACCGGGAAAAACATTTCTTTTATATTTTCGTACTTAAACAATGGATTTATCAAACGTCGATGTATTTTCCATTTATCTACTGTAATAATTTTAATAAGACATTTGAGCAATGCGATGATTTGAATGGTGGAACTAATTATTATAGTATATATCCTAACTTTTAACTTGAAAACAATAAAAAAAAAAATATATTAGTAGACCTGTTTACCCAGGTTAGGTTCGGTTAAAGAAAACCTATTTGAAATTATAGCTACATTAATAAATAGGTAAACCATAGTTGAACGTTAAGATTAATTGTGCTAAACTAAAAAACAATAAAACGTACCTGGAGCTGTTAACAAGCCCTCACCCAGAAGTTTAGTAGCCATATTACAGAAGAATCCTTTTTTCAAATTTTTCGAACTATTTAAAATAATCTGAACAAAATTATTTTTGAAATTGAATTTATTATGTATTGTTTATAATAAAGCCCGTGTTTTATAATATTTTTTTGGAAAGATTAAACTGGGTTTTACTTTTGTTTATGTACGGTATTTTATTTTCTACATAACATTGTTTTTTTTTTGGAAAAGTATAATTTCATTACATTATAGTACACTATAATTTTGGTTTACATACTATCATTATATTTTATCATTAGCCAGTATTAATATGATTGTAATTTATTAACTCGTAGAAAGGAAAATCATTCTCATTTCACATACTCGGTGGATTATTTTTCTGTCCCAACTTGTTTGGGGGATGGAGGGGTAGGTTAACAGAAAAGTGATATAACCATATAAAAACAGGAAAAATGTCCACTTTACCTGTTTATATTTTTATTTATTTAATACTAACTGATAAAAGACCTATAATTTTCATAGAATACTGTGATAATTAAGCCTATTATAGGCATTTGATATGTTAGGTTTGAGATATTACTATTTTGAAGTTAATTTAGTTTCTTTTCAATTGAATGTTTTATCATATGTGACTATAAAATTTGAATGCTTATTTTTTTTGTTTACTTTTTAAACCCAAAGTAGTATTGTACATTTGTAATATGGTCGAATGAATATTAAACGTACGTTAATTAACCGTGGTAATTCTTTTTAATACATTATATGTTCAAGATAAATGTTGAAATTTATACCGATATTTTTAAATTATTTATTCATAACAAATAATTACTTGAAGATCTTCTGGCTTAGAAATGAAAACGATAAATTTATTACCAGCCCATAATTTAAATGAACCGTATTTGTATGATGATCCATAATTCAAAGCTTTTTCGTAGTAATCTAGCAATTATAAGATACCTCATGTACAGTATTTGGATAAATACAATACAAACATAAAATGATTTTTTTCTCTTACCACCAAAGCCTTCCAAACATGACCCTATAATCGGGTAATTCGGCGGACCTTTCAATTTGTTAGCTAATGCTTCATAGGGCCGACGATTCCATTTGTCATAACATAACAATATAGCAAAAACTATAAACACTGAGAAAACCATCGACTGTGTTTCAGTTACCGGATAACCAAAAATTGAGCAATTGAAGTTTGCTGAACGAAGAACATGAAACATCTGCATCCTAACAATATAGACTCTTTGGAAGTCGAAATGATTAATACACAAGGCAATTAATTAAAAGTAATAGCTAATTTTTTTAAAATATTAGTTTGACAATTTAAGAACTAAGCAACTCTAAAATGTTTCATTACCATTATTATTAATTGTCACTTTACCATTCAGGGTTGAAAAGAAATTGTTTTCGGACAAATGAGGTTCCACACAAGATTTTTTATATTTTTCAAAAAAAAGTTTTGAACGAAGTAAAAATAATAGATGAAACGTAGAATGTAAAATTAATTATTGCCACTCGTAAAAATACTTGTACTAGAATAGACGGACGAAAGATCTAGAAAGCGAAAAGTACGAAAAAAAAAAAAAATAAAAAAAAAATAACTTATCTCTCTAATAATGTCCCACGTTGTTAATCCACAGATGTGAGGAGATTTAAAATCGGATTAAGATTTCTAGCAAAAATGTTTTTCTCAGTTAAAAAAAAAAAAAAACGACAAATAAATAAATAAACATCTTTATATGACCAATATAGAGAATCAATAATTAAATAATTTGGATTGTGTTTTACCTTACGTATTTTTTGATTGAAACTTTGTAGAAAATGAATCAAATAATCATCGACCGAATAATTTATTAAAAGTGTGCGAAGTTAAAACTGCGAGACCCGAGACTTAATGTACCTCTAAACCCGGCTAAGGGCAGTGTGCTTATTTATAGATTGCTCAACAGGATGTTGTCGAATTATACAGTCGTTTTTGGTATAGTGAGAATATTCTTTAAATGTGAAAATATTTCTTATTGTAATTTTTTTTTTTAATGTGTACGTGAACAGAATATTCGTAAATCGCAGTAGAAATAATGGCAGCCGGATTACGAAAAATCTCGTGTGAATATTATGAATGTATGAGAAATACATAGTTTAATTATGGCTATATTATAGCCATAATTTTTATATATAAATATTATATGGATATATGATTATATCAATATTAAAATATTGATGCGCTGTCCCAAAACGTAGAGGATCGAAATTATACATAGCGAATAGATAGCTAATTAAACTGTGTATTTTTCATATTATTTTTCATAATCACACGAAGCAGTTTGTTGCGAAACAAATTTTATCAGATTATATTTATAGCAGATTTGTTATATAGTAATATTCAATTCCGGA